TACCCAGGACAACCCTTCCATCCCAGAGAGGCAGGCAAACAACAAGCAGTGGCACCCACGGGAAAATTACAGAAAATGTGATCGTGTAGTAAGAGCTAAGAATAAAATAAATAATAGAGGAGCTCTAAAATGCTCGGGAGTGAGAAGGGTTGGTAGTCAAAGCAGGCAAGAGCAATACCCAAAGGAGCTGGGGGGGGAGGAGGTGGGACACAGAGCCAGGCAGGCAGGGCGGGCAGTTCTCCTGGCCCAGACAGCAGCAGCTGCTACTAATTCTGAGCTAATTATTGCCATGACTTCCAGTATTTTTAAAAGGCACTAGAAATGTGAATTCTTGACTGAGATTTTATTTTTTTTAAGAAGTAAAACAAACCCAAAACAAAAAACAGAAACAAAAACATACCACTTGCTAATCAGACCGGTCCTGCGAAGTCCCCTGACTCATAGCAGACATTACATTGTTTAGAAATAAGTTAAACTCCACTTTTCAAAGGTGTGTCTTTGCTGATTCACCCAACCCTCCCAAACACACACACAAACACACAAATCCCAAATTGGTTTTGGCTCCATCTGCCTCTCCTTGCGTAAGCATTCACACTGACATTCCCATATGGTGTTGATACTTTCTCATTCCCAGCCCCTAGCATTCCCGAAACATCCAGAGCATGCTTTTCATGGATATCTCGTGGCACAGCAACCATAGAAGACCGGATCTACAAAGGACAAGCTGCTTGGTATTGTTTTGAAAATCCTCACCGGGTGAAAGTTATTTATAATTTAGATAGAATTCAGAGGCTGTAATGATGTTTTAAATATGATTTCAAAATACTTGAGAATGGCAGGAGAGCAATGAAGTGGAAGAGAAGGATAATAAGTTTATGACATTCAAGTAAATATATCCAGAAAACTGGGTCATTTATAGCAGAACTGCAATCTTTTCCGTTAAAATATGCAAACGACAGTATGAAAAATGGTTTGTGATTTTAAAGAAATATAGCACTACAAATGTCAGCGTGAGAGAACTCAATAACACTTAATGAAACTTTGGATTTCAAATTAATTCCTGATTGACTGCGGCATCTAGAGGGAAACAGCCTCGATTAGAGACGTCTGTGCTAGGCCGTAAATCCAGAGGCTCTATGGAGGCTGCCATCTCCTGCTCCGCCGCTTTTACTAGGTCGCCAGGTGACAAGTCACTACAGGAACTACTGGTCTGAGTTTCAAAGTAAGAGATTTTGCCTAAGCATGTGTGTCTTCATTTCTTTTCCTTTCCTGAAAAACTGTTTAATGTCTTTATTAGTGATTTTTGCCTATATGGCTGGTAATCAAAGAACAAACACATTTGCAAACCAATATTTTACTGAGAACCAATGACCTGTATGAAGGTGACCATCTCTGACTGTTCTTTGATCCCTTTCTGCTTTGGCCACGCTGTCCAGTGAGTGGAATGCACATTTCCCCCAGACTCACCCCAGACTCACCCCAGACTCAGGTTGCTTTGGGCCTGCGATCTGACACGATGACTGGACTATGAAGCAGACAGGAACTGCCTCAATTTCTGAACAAAACCCCCTTTGGACTTCGGCCTGCTGAAGGCCCTGGTGACTTCTGCTGCAGCCTGGGTCCTGAATGTGGAGGCATGAGAATCTGAGCTCGGGAAAGTCCAGCTCAGACTGCAGAGCCACAGCCACCCAAGTGTGATGGGCAAACAGAACACACTGGTTTTTTTAAGCCCCTGAACCTCTGGGATTGCTTGTTACTGCAACAAAAGCTGACAGATGCAGCAAAAGCTTGCCAGGGAACCAGCAAGATTTTCAACACACAATATAAGCCCTGGCTTTGTCTTACATAAAAGTTATATAATCCTAACAGTCAACTATCACAGCTCTAGACCTAAAACAAGTAAATCATCACCAAATGAACAGAAGCTTGTTTTTATAGTTACTGCCACAAAATGGACAAGAAAGAAAGAATAGGAACCATCATCTGTAATAAGAGCTTCCGAGTAACGGTCACCAGTAAGACAACAACAACAGAAACTGGAAACGAGACACATCACGAAGTACTTTCTGTACGCCTGCCAGTACCCTAAGTGTGCTGTCTACACTCACAGATCTTCGGGGTATTGGTCCCCCTTTTATCTCCCCTATGTATGAAGAAACAAACAGAGACATCTTGTCAAGGAAAAAAGGACTGCCTTGCTTGCTCATTCTCCATGTAATTCTGAGTTACTCCTCATAACATTTTAGTATTCTCTGTGTGTCACACTTTCATTATCAAAAAAACTTATTAACTAAAAAATATTTCAATTTCAGGCAGCCCATCAATCCTCAGGAAAGTTACTTCTATGATCAAATGTCCTATAAATTTCGAGAACCATGATAATGATTATTCCAGTTCATCCCCTGCATAGCTGTGCTCTCATTCTACAAAGCCATCCTCAAAGTCTCCCTTGGAGAAGAATCTCTTCCAAGGATCAAGAACCTGCCCTGCTCTAAATCCCCACCTGTAACCTCCCCATGTGGGAAATCAATGTTAATGCCTCTGAACTGGAGCTATGAAACAGCAACCACACACAGGAAGGGAAGGAAAAAAAGATCAAAACTCATAAAAAGGAATTAACATATGCACATGGAGTGATACATATAATATGTACAAAACAGATATCCAAGGTTTTTAGAATGCAATCTCTTGAAATGTTAGGACCACAATGATACATTTTTGGAGCATTTTGCTTCAAGCCCAAATACACAGATTGGAAGCTCACTATGATGACACTCTCTATTGGCAGATATTTGCTTTTCTCCCTTCCTTATCTGTGGTCCAAGGACTACGCTGACGGTTTCCAAGGCAGAAGGTGGGTTGCTCTAATACACAGGATTCAGCTGCCTTCCAGCCTGTACTCTGTTCACCGGGCTGTGCCAGCAACAGAAGCTGCAGGCCACAGCGAAGGAACCATGTGGCTAATGGCCCTGGCCTTAGCAGGCTCCAGGTCCTCTGTGATGGCTGATGATATAGTCCTAATCACTAAGGTGGGAAAGGGGTCTATAAAATGTACTTCATTTTGTGTTTTTGTCTTAAAGGGGAACAGAGAATGAAACAAGCAACCTTAAAGCTGATACTCTCCATTAGTCCATGGGCAGTTAAGACCAGAAATGCCAGACAAAAGCAAAGGTCCTTGACAGATCTTCTGGGTCCCAAAGAATCACCAACAAGTAGGGTTTGGGAGGACAGCGTAAAGGGAACTAAAGTCCAGTGAACCCATGACATGGATGGCTGTCCTTCCAGCATACCCCCTTCATTGGTCAGGTGCACAACACCAATCAGGCAGTGTCATCTCAGAAATTATGCACCTGGCCCAAACTGGACTTCCACTTAGCAACGGAGCTCAGATTCAAACCGAGTGTTTTTGACTCCAGGATCCAGTACGATGTCCACTGTCATGCCAGTAAGACTACAGTCAGCCCATGAAAGGTACAGGACTTGAGCCACATCACTAGGTATAGACCTGACTCACCCTGCCCCAAACATGTTTGTACAACAGAACTGACTGGAATGGAGATGAGCTGTAGCTGGGACAAAAGGGGAGACATTGAGAGCATGAACTGCCACCAGGAATGCTCTCCAGAGAGCTAAGAGTAGGCAGGTGTATCAGACAGGACCAAAGTGGTCCCAAGTAATAGAAACCCAGCTCGAACGAGCATCAACAAAAAAGGAGAGGGGGAGGACAAAGGAGGAGAGAAAGAGAGATAAAGGAGGGAGAGAGGGGAGGTAAAGACAGAAACAAAGAGATCTTACAACTTCTGCTTCACTCCCCGAGATGCCCACAGGCCTGGGACTAGGTCAGGCCAAAGCTGGGACCTGGGAACTCAACCCAGGTCTCCCAGTTGCAGGGCAGGAACCCAGTCACTTGAGCCATTACTGTTGCCTCCCAGGGTCTGCATGAGGAGAAACTAGAGTTAAGAGTC